CACTCACAGCCACGCTCTTACAGCCACAGTAACTGGGTCAATAAGCATGCCAAAAGAGATCCATGCGCTGACACTGACAGACCCTCGACAGAGATGAACATATACGCAAATCCAAATTAGGGTGTCGCATGTTTCGCAGTGAGATTACATGCTTTTTAAGACAATCATGGGGCATGTGTGGCTAATTTATTAGGTTTGGAAGACAGTATTTATTTGTTGTCTTACTCGACCTTTGTCAAGCGAAGGTGAAGCGAGACTTCCACAGTCAATCACCTTGTCTACCCAAATTAGCACTGCTCTCTCAACGTTCCCAGCAGCCATTTCTCTGTTAAAACTGTTACTCTATTAGTTGGTGATGGATTTTTGGCTTTTGCAGTTTAACCATCACAGATAATAAAATACAAAAATAAAAAGATAGTTGAAATCACATTTATGTAACTTAATACGAGTTGTGTGCTTATGCAAATTAGGCAAATTATTGTTTATACTACCATTAATCCTTTTTATGTCATGCCTGAATGTCATGACAATAAAAAATAAAAAAAATTGTCACCAAAATGCATTTCCTAGCCCTGCTTTCTTGTGACAAATAGTATTCTACAACAGTATAAAAGCCCCTGGATTTCCAAATGCTGTTAGAAAATGCAGTATTTTTGGCAGTGGACTGCTTAAATTAAGGTTGACAGGAAGCTCGGTCCACATTAAGAAAGTAGACAGAGGAGGAATTGCCCTACTTTTGGTGATGATGTGCCCTTTACGCGAGCTGTGGTTGTACATCTGCCTTACTTGATACCAGCATGGCCTCTGGGCCCCTAGTGGCTTTGTTCAGTATCACACTATTGGAAGAAAACATAAACATTATTTGTTACTTCTTGTTAAATTAATTTAAATAAGGCTTTTACATTTTGTTTTGTTTTCTTCTCTCTTTTTACACAATATCTTTCAGGATGACAGTATCAACTGCAAAGCTTCTGTATTTATGGCAAAAGCAGTATCTGGTCATGGATTCAAACAGGTTTTTAAAGGAAACTGACAATTGTGCAGGAGAGATGGCGTTTTGTTTGTCTTGTGTAAGAAGTACGAGAAGCTTCGGTCGCAGTGGCTGTGAACATTTAATGAGAAACGTTTCTCAATAAAACCAAGATCAGCTACCATTCACAGTCCTTTAGAGACCAGAACAATGAGTAGAATTATTACTATTCATAAAGGATTGAATCGGGCTACACTGTGTGGGAGTGTGTGTCGTTTGATGGATGGCGGCCTCGTTCTGCAGCATCTGCACATATATGTTTTGTGTCATGCAAGAACACAATTTTTCTCTCATGCATAATTTCACTCCTTTCCACCCCTTGTCATTAATACCAATAGAAGATGATAAGAAAAGCCGAGTTTAGCTGAGTTCAGACTCTTGAAGAAATGCTTTCAGATAATACAATTTCAGACATACAATCTCCAATCAGCATTTTGTTTCACTCGTGTTTTTGAGCAGATTGTAGATCTAAAAATATAACTCAATTCCAACTTGAGTCTTTTTCAAAACAAGCTTTAGCAAGAGAAGCACACGTATATCACAACAGCAGGTCCCTGGATATGGGCCCCTAAATGAAACTCTTAGGATAATTAGTTAGTAATTATTTTATCTGCAAACCTATCTTCACCCATCAGATGATTAAAGAATGCTGGCTACACATTATGGCCATAATGTGGCCATCTGGGCATTGCTGAAACCTACAGCTCAAGTATCCGGGAGACTGTAACTGAAGGTCGCCTGTACCTACTTTTTTGTACTGGACAGCTTTTAATGCAAAGCAGCTAAAATTTCAGCAGTTCTGTGTTATTGTGCTATATGGACAGACTTCTTAATTGACTGGCTTAAAGATTTGGCAGCCTGAGCTTAACTGGACACATGGAAAGTCAGGTTTTAGCTTCTGGTTTTTAGTCTGCATTGATGAATAACATAAATCTAAAAGCTTTGTGGCAGCAAGTGTGACATAGTTGTCACAGGTTGTTGTCTGGTCTTTGATGGGTTACAGAATGTATGTCATGGCAAAGCATATTTAGTTAGTTTTAGTATTTAGTTTGTTTTTGAACTAAAGCACAAAAAAAATTGTCATCAAATTCTAAATTCACATTCAAATACATGCTGTATTACTGCATTAATTCTCACGCTGAGCCATATGGCTGTTTCAAGCATTTTTACTACTGCAATCATGTCCTTGTCTATTTTTGGAGGTGCCATCAGCCTAAATTGCTCATTACACTTTACTAATTTTAAATAAGTGACCACATAATAAATTATGAATTACTCAGCAGTGCATTAAGTTAATCTTTACTTTTATTACTCAGCACAGTTCTGTGAAAGGCGCCTCCAAACAGCTTCAAATCATCCATACACGTGCTCTGCATCTTTTGTATTTACCATGTGTACAAACAGGAGATTGAGTAGAGATTTACTGATGATCACACAGCTAGCTTAGCCTCAGTGACTGCTAATTGCTCTCCAGAAGTTCTGACCTCAGAAGTAGAATCTTGCTAAAACTGACATAAATAATCTAGAAACGGCAACTTGGAATAACCTGGAATTGTATTTCTCCTCCTTTGGTAGATTGCTTCACAGCTCAATCATAATTCAGACTAGGCCGTCCTCTCAGAGCAAAGAGAGCAACCCTTCATCAAGCTCTCAAAAAAACACCGTGTGACTGGAGTTAGCAACTAATTATAGAATGGTTGTTCTTTACACTACTGGGTACTCAAAAACATATTCACTTTACCTCAATGCATACTGGTCAGCACTGGTAATAACAACCTTTTTCCCAGAAACCTACATTCAGATGCATTCTCCACTTTAGTGTGCTTTTTGTGCTTTACACTAAAAACAGCCCTCTGGGCAAGGGCAGTATATAAAAAGGTCTGTTGAGTGGAAAGCGTCCATCTCGTTGCAGCGTAATACTAAATGCCTGGAAGTGGAGCCCTTACATGGACATGGTAAATGAATGGCCACTGATTGCTCCATAGCTAAGAATAGCCGAGGTTTAATAATAGTTCTTTGTCATTAGTGCGGCTCCTTTGTGCTTTAGTGAAACCTGATTGCGTATATATGCATCCCAACTGTTTTCAATGACCTTCACTCTTTCCGGCATAACATGCTGACCTGTGGTTCGAAGTTTGTAGGTAGGTCAAGTCTTGTGAGACATAAAAAAGACATGTATTTTAGCTTGAAATAGCCATGGTTGTAGTTTGTGTTCTGTACTTTCTTTACCATAAAAAGATTTTCTCTTGCTGTGTAGCCATTCATTGTTGTTGTTTTTTTAAGTGACATTTTGCATTAGAAACTCTAATTTCTGACACGAGACAATTCAGAAATACACTGAGAAGTGGATCCACCATAAAAAACACCAAAACATTTTAGATTATAGAATGGCATACTAATCATATGAGTGTAGGATCAATAGTTTTCTAGGATTTAAAGATTTCTAGGATTGGAGAGGAGCTCTGGAGCATATGGTTTTAAATTATACTACAAAGGCAAAGCTACAGGTTAACATATGGACTGAATTAGCTGATGAAACTGTCATGTTTTCTATTATCTCTAGTTGTTTCTATATATCTATATTCCGAGACTGTTGATAAGCAGTTGACTAATTGTAAGAAACAGCAGGAATCTGTGCAATGAGATGTAGCTACATGTAGAAAATGTGAACAGCTTGAGTGTTAGCACCTATTCGTACTCTGGTGAATTGCAGAAAAAATGTGTTGCACAAGCTCCTCGTCTTATCTATTAACTGTTCTGCTTGTCGAGACACAAGTTCTGCACTGCGAAGCTGGCAGTTATACCGCTGCTTTGTTCTTTCTATCCAGTCACGATACAAGAAGTTGATCCACGGAGACCGAAATGCCACGACAAATTCCACGAATCTTTTGAAAAGTTGAAAATCCTTTCACATGCTCCCTCCATCTTCCCGGTTTCACAGTGGGTGCTCAATGTGGCAGCGTACTGAGAACTCATTATGTAAAATCAATTCCTTTCAACATGCATCCCAATCTCCCAGCGCTTCAGTTTCCAGCGAATGTGGGCTTCGGCTACGAACAGATCTATTATATTGTGTGACGAGCGCATGCATTCATATGCTGACACATACTGTACTCCGTCTGCCATGCTGCTTCTGCATCACTAGATGTAACAGGCAGGAAGTGGCATTATATCAGATATTAGAGGCTGTGGATGATAATTAAGGCAGAAAATGTTGCAAAACAAACTTAGTTTTGTAATTCTCTGTTGAGCATTATCAGTGCTATTAGTTGTATTGCAGTTTTTTGGCTAGAAGCGAAGAGAAAGGGCAGTCAAGTGAAAAACTTTACATAATGTTTTTTTTTTTCCCTCCCCAAACATGCCCCACTAAGCTTTTGGTCCCTCACAATGTGGTTATTTAAATTCTAATGAGAGATTTGAAGGAGGGAGAATCTTTTCCAGATTTTCTCTTCCGCTGAGAGGAAGAAAGTCCCATATCTGATATCATATTTATTACTTTCTGTTCATTTTCAGCTGATCTCCTTTGGCAGTAATTAACTTGAATTAAGATGGAACAATAGAGTTTCCCACCACCCAACAATCACCACCTCAAAACAACATACATGCAGTATGTCATGTAGGAATAGATGAACTTGTTTGCATGTTCTGTTATCTGTCACACTTGTTGTAGGAATTGTGCAGTTGGGAATGTTTCTAAGCAAGCTAGCAGAATGAGTAACTCTATTAGTTCAAGTAGATCCTTAGATTAAGTTAATTCTTTTCAAAGTGATTTACTCAAGAAAGATCCCACTCATTTTTTTGAAAAGTCATTGTGCACTCTTTTTTTCTTGCTCTGAACTGTGTTTCTCATTAATTTTATGATAACCTAGTTCCCATTAGTTTGGTGAAATTGGTCTTGATGTTCATCTGCCTCTCTCTCTCCCAGCTCTCCTTTCTGCCAGCGTTGCCCCCCTGCTGTTAAGGCTGTGGTATGAGCCTATGTGGCAGGAAGGCGCTGACGTTGCTGAGCAGCGTGTTCGCTGTTTGCGGCCTGGGCCTGTTGGGGATCGCCGTCAGCACCGACTACTGGCTCTACCTGGAGGAGGGAGTCATCCTTCCGCTCAACCAGAGCACCGAGATACGCATGTCCCTCCACTCTGGACTCTGGAGGGTTTGCTTCTTGGCTGGTGAGTTAAGAAGTCAGAGATGTGTGAATGACAGAAATTAGAATTTGAACTCATAAAGGCAAGGTAAAGTAGATTTTTATTTTAATTAGGATTTTTATTTTATCCAGACGGAGATGAACATTTCCTCTTTTTTTACTGTTTGGTGGAGAATAACCTGATTATCCTCAGTGCTAGAAATGAAGCTGCCAATTCATCCCATCAGGGGCAGTGATATGACAAAAAAAAATGAGATGCATGAGATTTATGTTTTTTAAGGTCTTGATTCACAAAGATTCCAGTGTAAGGGTTCCCTGAACACAACACAGCAGCTTTCATGTTACACAAATGGGAGTAAAGTCTGTGGCACAAACGAGCACTGAAATTTTAGGAATTCTGAATGGAAACAAAATATTCATCTTTCGATCATGTGTTCTTTAAAAAATTCTCTTGTCTCACTCAGCACTGTTATAGTGTTTGCTCTCCTGCACACAGCTTTGCTGAATCTGGTTTTTAATGTATAATTTCCAGTGTATTGTCTATAATATTGCACATATACAGTCACTTGTGTTTCTTTCCTCATTTCTTTCCTGCTCTTTAACCACAACGCTGCTGTGTAGAAGACTCGTCTTTGCTTATAGTTTGACTACTTCAGCATGAGTTTTTAAATGTTGCTTCTTCCTTTGTGCAGCACTACCTTTCCTTACAGTATGTGTTTTATCTCTAAACTTCACTTTAATTCAGTGCTGTTCCCTTCAAAGTGTCGAGTATTTTAATTCCTGTTGATAGATGGCTTACCAAGACTTTTTCCTTCATGACCTACCCAGTAGCTGACTTACTTTCTGTAGCACCAGAGGCACCTTGGACTGATGCAGAAAAAACCCTCTTGCCTTTTTCCTTCTTTTTAACCTGCATTTTCTCCAATGTAGCGTTGCACACACACAACAAAAGAAGCGTTACGTACTATATTACCGCATTGCATGATCAAGCGCCTTCTGGACTTTCATAAATGTTGTTCCTCCCCAGTTCTAACATCACAACGGCATGCCCAAAGATCTTGAATAAATGAGAAAAACACTAACTGTTAGTTCTGAATCTTTTCTTAGGGACACAACCCTCCAGAAAAGTGTTGTTCCAGAGTAAACCAGGTATCACCTTTTGCTCATACCCTCTTGCTCCCTCTGCTAATGGCAGCATTAATGTACTGTGATATGCTTTGTTTGATGTGTAGATGTTCATCCAATAATCTGTGTTTATTTGTCACAATGAATGGTTTTTATCTTTAGCTCTTCAAGACTTCTGAAGTTTATCACCTGAAACTGTTTTGCACATATTTTTGTTAGTTGCAACTCTTGAATTAACTGAACATAAAATGTGGTCTTATCTCTATCTAGGTAATAGGTACAGACAAACCCAATGTGCTAAAACTAGTAATACACAAATAAGTCTAATCGTATTGACCTCTCTTTATTAACTGATTGAACCTCCTTTGACAGCAGTAGCCTCAAACAAGTGCTGCATATCACAACTGCACAACATTCAGGAGGAAGTTTGGATGATTCTTCCTTAGAGGACTGAGTCACCTCTGTGTCATATTCTTAGATTGCCTGATGTGAACTGCTCTCTTAGGTTTGGTAAAGGTCTGGGTTCTGACTGGGACATTGCAGAGGTGATTTTTCATCGTTCATTTCACTGACTGAAGTGTTTAATGTCACTGTGCTGAAGCATCATCTATCTCCTACTGAGCTTCAGCTGCAAAACCCTGACTTTATCCTGTAAGGTTCTTTGATGAGCTTGGGAATTAATTTCCTATCCAGGCCCAGAGGCAGTAGAGTAGCCTCAAATCAAGATGTTTTCTCCACTATACTTCACCACTGAGAAGATGTTTTCATGTTGGTATGTGCTGCCCTACACCATATGTAGCAGTTCCTCCCCAACAATTCAACCTCGGTTTCATCCAAACACTTTGCCAGAGTGTAAAGCTGCTGTTTGGCAAACTCCAGGTGCACATTGATGTGTTTTTATGGTACAACACGCCGCTTTATAAACCAACAGATGATTAGCAAGTGGTAGACTAATGAGCAGAGACATTAACCAGCTCCAATGATTTCTTGAAGCCTAAAGGCTGTTCTTCTGAAGTTCTTTTTTACCTCACTGAGCACGCTGTGTTTATGTGTTTAGGGAGTGCAACCACAGGACTGAATGGTCTACGTTTATAAACACAATATCTTGCTATGGATGGGTGACTCTCTCTAGTTCTTTGTAACCCTATTCACCTTTTATACAAATAGAAAGTTTTTGATCATGCACTGATCATTGCAGAGCTCTCAAAATGTTGGAGTTGAATGTTTGAATGGTGAGTTCAGTACAGACAAGAGTAAAATAGGTGTTCAAATAGATTATGTTTGTTCAATACTATAGCTACCATGATAGCTGGTAATCTGTAGCGTTACTCCACGTGCTATTGAATTGTGTCTCAGCTGACCTGCTTTGTCCCGTTTCAGGGTTCATCGCTCAGCCAGGCTAAATATGTAGGCAATCCAGTCGTGATTAGGTAACAGTTGTTCTCCTGCCGTTGTTATAAATGGACTAATGGTTCAGTGTGTCTTTTAGGGGCAATCGAGTGGCCTTATTGCCAAATTAACTGTTCTGGTGCACAGTGTTTGACCCAGAAACAATTACTGCTCGCTATCACAGCATGTTGTCACACCAGTGAACGTGAACGAGGTTACACAATGTTGTGACTGACATGACGAGCATTGACGCTGGTTTGGTTCATCGGGTGTTTTGCTATTAGTTTTGTCCCAATAGAAGTTAATGCAGAGGGTTTTGAATGACGGTGTTACTGGAGCGCTGCTAAAATGGACTGAAAATAAGCCATAAAATCTGCTATGTGAAAACATAATCAACATTTTTTTGTTAGAGTTATTATTTTCCTCTGTTGCAATTACATTAGAGTGACGTAAGAAGTTATTATTCTGTTGTGGTGAACAACAACAATAAAACGTTTAAGCTTTACAGTGACGCTGCAACACAAAGCATTTAAGAACTCAGGAGATGGAAAAACCCAGGAAACCAACCACAGAGAACTCACTTGCATGATGTAACAGCTTATTATGTGAACAGGTTTTTCATTTAGTGACATTAAATTCAGATTTTATGTCATAAGAAAAAGACAGACAACAAGCAAGAGTGTGAGAGGAATAAAAATCCATATAGTCCAGTACATATGTAGTACAGTATGTAGACAGCAGACAGTATGTATTATAGTGTGAATCCGAGCCTGAACTGCTCCAGGTAGTTATTTCCTGCTGGGGTGCTAAAACAAACTCTTCTAGCCCAACCTCAGTTGAACCCAAAGACAACTTCAAGCTCCACAACAACCTCCTGTTCTCTTGCTTACTTTCTCAGACACAAGTATAGAAATCTTGATTAGACTCCTCATAGTCTATGAGCTTTAAATGCAACAGTCCAGTGAATAAATTGTCTAATCTGCTGCTATACAAGTACAGAGGAGAGGGCATAGAAGATATAGAGAATGTCCATGTTTTAGAATGTTTGTGGATAAAAACATGGATATTCTCTGTATCTTCTCTGTCCTCTCCTCTGTACTTGAATAGCAGCAGAGGACATAGAAGATGTAGACAATATCCATGTTTTTAGAGTGTTAGTGGGACCACGGGCCCCCCAACAACAGCACCACTATTATCCAAACATAAAGGTCTCTATTTCTCACTTGTAACAATTAAAGTTCTGGTCTTGTGGTACAACCCAGAGCACTTTCGTAGTTTGATTTGTCCAGAATTACAGATGCATAAAATACCATTAGACTCCACCCTGAAACGGTTTTAAAAATCAGCTGATCACTCATTACAGTTTGTCCATTAAGAACCCTTGTTGTGTTTACTTTTCAGCTATATGCACTGCAAATCCCCATCACTGTCCTTTGATAATTGAATGTATTGAATCATAAAATGTTACCTATTCCTTCTATATGGATTTCAAAGAAAACTGCTCATCATTCTTTACAAACAATGCACTATTGTTGAACTTCATTTCATTTCACAGAAAATCAAAGGTTCATACCAGACTTGTTGTTTGACTGCTCTTCCTTCTGCAGCCACGTTGTTTTCCCATGTCATGTGTCTGCAACATTCATTTAGTGAGAAGTCTGTCTATGTCTTATTCTTTCATTTCTCAGAATAGTTGCTTGATTGCCATATCGTCATATAATAAATAACCTCCTGCTAACTCTTTTACAAAGACTTTTAACAAGCCAGTCCAGCTCTTCAATGCCAGACTGAAATTATTGTATAAAATGTATTGAAAGTATCACGAAGACGATGCTGTCAGAGGAAACCAAGCAGAAATTAGTCCTCGAGTCAGAACTGATTGATTGGGGACTGAGACTCATTGAAAAAGCAAAACGAGACATAAACACATGTGAAAGAATTACTGTCTAAGCAAGTCTTTTGCCATTCCTCCAAGATTCACTCTGACATGTTGTCAGTCTAAAGCAAGTGACAAGTGTTTAAAGATTTACAATTGTAAGTGAACCTATTTAGTGTGTTCCTCCAAAAGCAAAAACTGCAATATTGTAGTGTTTCATTAAAGTTTATATCTTTATTTAGAATCAGTGTTGATTGAACATTTTACAACATTTTTGCGACTGCATACCCCATATCTGCTTTGGATGTGGGGTAGGTATTGGGTTAAAGGGCAAGGGGTTGGGTTGGGGGTTAAGAGTAGAGAAGCCGGTCGGTGGGTGAGGTATGAAGGTGTAGCAGCAGTAGGTGTAGGGAGCATTCAACAGGTAGAATTCTCCGCTAGAGCTATCAGTCCTTTCTTCCTCTTCATCCCTCTGTGTCTCTCCCACCATCACATTCACTTTTCTCTTTCCCGTCTTTTCTTTAATGTTAGGCTCCATCTTTTATTTCCCTTCTTTTTCCATCTGTTCTTTGTCTTCCTGCCTTTCCGTCTCATTTTCCTCTTGTTCCTTATCGTGGATTTTCTTCACCTCCAGCTTCTTTTGAGCTTTCTTCTCCAGCTGCTTCTGCTCTTTTGTGTAAAGTTTTTGAAGAGAGGAAGACAGTATATTTTATATTCAGTGAAACAGTCTTGAAACAAGCTATTTCAATCCAACACGACATTATTGTAAAGGAAAATGATCCACGTCAAGCCGCTGGTTCTTGGAGATGAAGAATTTGTTCTTCTCTCATGCCTTGTTTACTTTCTTACTCCACTGGTCATCCTTATTACACAATAATCCGGGAAGGTTGTGTTACTGTTTGCGTTAGATGCGAAACATCACCAAGAACTAGGTCACGAATCTTTGCATGCTCAAAAGGAAAAAGTTCATAACACAAAGCCTTCAACAATGAAGTACAACGGACTCACAATTACTTTTATGTGATACGAATATTAGGACCAGAGGACTACACAGAGACTACAAACATCAAGTCAACAACTGTCTAATTTCTTAAAGAAACGAGTCACGAGAACTCGCCAGTTTAGTTTTACTCTTTATATTTAATTTTAACAACCATCCAAACACTGACTGTTTGTTATTCATCATTATGCACCGTATTCTTTGAATGCACTATAAAAGCTAATTACATTTGCTGAAATGTAACATGTCACCTAATCAAACACCTCAGAGTGTGTGGGGTTAAGTAAGTGCTGAGAAAAACATCAGTTAGTGTGTTTTGGTGCCAGATTTTGTTCTGTACGTGTCAGTACAAAGTCTGGCACCTGTAGGTGATGAAGACAAAAGTGCTAAAAATCTAATTGCTGGTGTTCCTCAAACAAGTCCTGACAGCAGACACTTTATTACAGAAAAAAACAAAAAACAAAAAACCCCCTGTTGATTCCAATTCCCTTTGCCACTTTAGAGGTTTTTTTTGGTGCCATTAAGTAGCAATAGCCTCACAGAGTTAATGAACTGAAATTGTTTCACATGAAATTTTGTATTTCCAGCACTTTAAAATGAATCCTGTTTGAAAACTTGACATTTGTGATGTGCTGTCCTCCTTTCTTTAATTATTATTATAGGTTTTTAATGCTATAAATCATCTATGTATTGTACATATAAACTGTTTTCTTTGCTGCTGTTGACAGTTTAGTGAGTTTTGTAGAGTCCTAAACTCTGCTTCCTGATTTATGTGAAATTTTACTGAGTATAATCTTTCCCTGTCTTTTGCTCCAGGGGATGAGAAAGGACGGTGTTTTACCATTGAGTATGTGATGCCGACTAACGTCCAGATGACCTCTGAGTCCACTGTTAGTGTTCTCAGTAAGTAACTGTTCACATGCTGCTATTATATGAGTAATGCTTCAGTTTGAAGTGGCAGCTAGAGGCACAGTGTTCCAGTTAAACAGGGTTGTAGTAGTGAACAAACCTTTCTTACCTCAGGCTTTCAGAGCCCGTCCAAGCTTTCTCTGCTTTTCAAGGTACCGCACACATAAGCAGCAACAAGCTGGACAGTTAAATCCAACACTAACAAGACACTTTTTCTTCATTTAGGTGGTTATAACAGGTGGTCTCTGATTTGACAGGTATTATTTGATGCAGCATGTTTTCTAAATGGTGGCAGATGGTGTTACAGGGGAGAACAAAATAAAAAGTCTTCAGAAGAGACTGAGAATTAAATTTCAGTCAAAATAACAAACTGATGGTGTTTCAGGAGCAGGAACTAGGTTAGTAACAAGTAGCTCGTGGGCACTGGGGAGATAGCCCCTCTATGATTCACCCTCTCAGTGAACCTCACTGCTGGCAGTTGGAAGAAGTGTATGTTAACACCATGTGTCAGTGAGGCAGTGCATGCCTGTCAGCAGCCCTTTTTCCAGCTGACTGTAAGGCTACTGTTGACAAAGACTACAGTGCACACTTTAATCCTTTTTTTTTAAGTCTAAAGTGATAAAAGACGCGACCCAAGTCTGACCTGAACAAATGTCGTATGACTTGAGTCCGACCTTCTGTGCTGTGCTGCCATCCCGTATACAGTTTGTGCTATTCCTGGCCTAATCCCCAAGGCCTTTCCACTCAAGATAAGAGCTGGATATATATGAAAAATTTAAGGGTACCATTTTCATTTTATAGAGACCCCCTACAGAGTGAGCACGCATAAGTACTAGTAGTTTAAAGACAAGATGAGAGGGACTCCAAGACAGCCACGTCAAATCTTATTTCCCTTGTGTTTTCAAGCTGCAGCCCAAAGACGGGCTTTGATGTGAAAGATGCAATATGAAGTAAGATGAAGGTAAACTAGCTGATCATGTAGATACATGAACATGCTGTCATAAGTCATTTTCTGAACTGTCTACCTGAAGCAGATGAGGTCAAGGGAAAGTGGATATTCAAGCAAAATTAAGTAAAATTAATCAATTTTCCAATCTGCTTGCTAGTCTACAGAAACAAAGAAGAGAAAGTTCAGATAAAATTACTCCTGAGAATCAAAGAATAATGCACTTTTGATGAAACCGAATAATGTGTAGTGATGCAAACTATTAAAGAGATAATATTTCTTTTAAGTGTTGTATTAGAGAAGCAAGGTAAAAACAGAAGCAGGAAGTGAGTGATGGGAGAACTTATGTGATGCTGATGATGAAAGAGGTATAAGAGTGAAGAAGTGTTATGTGAGAATGAGATAAGAAAGCTACATTAAGTGATGCAAATATAGACAATAAAAATATAGACATAACAAGATGTAGCAGTTCTCTTTCTAAAAACATAATAAACAACGTTTAAAGGTGAAAAAATTTATATTTCATTATGCCCTGTGAAATCAAATTGCCATACTGTATGCAGTAGTTCTAACTTAATTAGATTAAATTAAAATATTAATCAGTGGCAGATTTTGTCTATGCAGGTTGGTAATTAAAGCTGATACTTTAAAGCCACATTCATTGTAATAACTACATTTTTAACTTTGTCTAAATTTGTTCAGACTCAGTGTGATTTGACAAAGATTCCCCTTTTTGTTTTTTTTGTGGGTTGGATAGCTACTCTAGATGTTAAAAGACAAGTTTACAATGCAATCCAAACTTTACCCAACTAATTCAGCAACCAGTTCCATTAAGGTTATGGCCTCAGACATCTGGTCCACTTAGCAGGAAGGCTAACATCGTGTGTAATGAAGAGCACAATGGGGGTCTGGTACCACAGAGTACCACAGACTCCCTGTACTTTGGGGAGTTACTTTACCGTTTTCTCACAGTGGGACGATCTTGTTCCATCTAAAAGAAAGACTCAAAACCTAAACTCATGAAACACCAACTCCACCAGGAGAAGGCATAAGAGAAGCACAGCGAGAGACTTCATGTTGCCACTCCAACAGATGAAAAACAAAAACACACTCAAAGTGATCAGCTCCTTTCTTTCTTCATTCTTGTTTCTCTTGTCTCATTTTAGAGATGATTCGCTCTGCCACGCCCTTTCCCCTGGTCAGCCTCTTCTTCATGTTCATCGGTTTCGTACTCAGCAACATCGGCCACATTCGACCGCATCGCACCATCCTGGCCTTTGTTTCTGGGATCTTCTTCATCCTGTCAGGTACTTGGTTTGTCCAACAAAACAACTCCAGATGAGTAAATCAATAAAACAAATACGAGAGATGCAGAACAAGCAATGAACTCATTTATTTATAGTTGGCCTGTTGCATTGTTACCCTTTACCCAGAAGAGAGCACAGTTAAAGGTTTTTAGTACAAAATGAATGGTTTGTATGGTTTTTAGCAACACGAATGATGCCGTTATATGCTTCACATTTCTAAGTAAGTTTCATCTGTCTGTTCTTTGTGCCTCCTGCAGGCCTGTCGCTGGTTGTTGGTCTGGTGTTGTACATCTCCAACATCAATGATGAAATGTTGAACAGAACCAAAACTAACGAAGCCTACTTCAGCTACAAGTACGGATGGTCGTTTGCCTTTGCTGCCATCTCATTCCTGCTCACGGAGGTAACTTCACGAGAACAAAATATGAATTCTGTAACACTGTATCTCACATTTCACCAACGTGTTTTAAAGCTAATATTTTAAAGTCTTTTGTCCATGGCTAAACATTGCATCTGTTTCTGCCTGATACCTGGATGTACATCAAAAGGAGAAAGATTTTCTCAAATCAGTGTGCCAAGCTGCGTGTTGTTGTCTTATCAGTGCTGGTTTATGATTTCGCATGAATATTTATGCACTTTAAAGCAGCAGTGGCAGCACATTTCTTTTGTTAGATTACATCTTATCCGTTGCAGTCGTGATTTGCATTTCCTTTTAGGCATTCAACAGATGTTGTCATTCATTTTCAAATTAGTAGCTGAAGACATTAGAGTCTATCCTAAAGTCAGCTTCTTATGTGAGATGTAATGTTAATTTAGTTGTGTGAAATTACACCCATTAATCATGATAACTCAGAGTTAATCAGCTATGATCTATGTGTTTGTACTGTTTGTTTGTGGATAATGAGTTTTGCCTTATGAAACAGCGGTGGCTGACTTTTGTTTTTTTCACAAAAATATAATAACACCCTGACTGAAATGTTGGAAGTGCATGAGATTCTTTTTCGGCAGTTTTTCACTTTACTGAACTTATGTTGGTAATCATTTATGGATGAATACACAGTAGATTCCTCCACAAGCCACGCACACACACAAACGTGGCCTTTTTAAAAAGCTATGGTTCAAGTGTTCACTGTAGGAGGTTAATTAGTGCTCATTGTTACAGGGATATGAATAATCACATAATTGCATATGTGTCATTTGACCACAATCTAGAAGGATTTATTGTATGCAATTCAAGAAATAATTATGATGGTGGATAACACCAGATGTGAATACATGACAATAAGAGAGACAGGCTAAAGATGGTGAGCGCTGAAATTGTACGCCTTGTCTTAATTCTCCCATTGTTTTCCAGACGGCGGGCGTCATGTCAGTGTACCTGTTCATGAAGCGCTACACAGCAGAGGAAATGTACAGGCCCCATCAAGGCTTCTACCGGCCTCGCCTCAGCAACTGCTCAGACTACTCCGGCCAGTTCCTCCATCCAGATGCGTGGGCCGGACGTGGACGCAGTCCCTCCTCCATCTCCTCCGAGGCCTCCCTCCAGATGAACTCCTCGCACTATCCTGCTCTTCTCAAGTGTCCAGAGTACGAACAAATGTCCTCCTCACCCTGCTGAGGCAGAGGATGAGTGGTCGCGTTGGGGTCATTTTGCCTGGATTTTGACATGAAATTGTCCAATAATTTGATATTATTCAGCTTGAAGTCTCCACTTCAAGTGTTCTGACTATGACCTGATTATCTTTACCCTCCCTGCTGCTGGTTTTTATTTACACATTTTGGTTTTGTAGGGAACAAAACTTAAGTTGAAGGTAACCCCAGTTCACTTTGTTCCCAGTCTTTTTTCAGGGAGAGCTGTTAGAAAATGGGAGATGAGATAGTTTAACCAGGTGGTACTTTTATCTGCTTTTGCTATAGTTTTTAGTAATACGTGGCAAGCAACATGCTCAGTGTAGAATAGGGATTAGAACTGGATAGGTGACTGCGGGTATTCCCTCAAAACCAAATATTACGGCGGGTAATTTCAGCTAGAAAGCAGTAAGAAATCAGAGAAATCGCCCAGGTGGAGAGGAAACTTTCTCAGAACCTTAAATCCTGGAGGTTGGTTCTGGACGAATGTTTCCTCAGTTTGATCTTGAGGTGACTGAACAAAAAGTGCAGTTAGGCTTCATTAAGGGTAATGGCTTTCAAATAAAACTGCTGCTCCTGTCTCCTACAAACTGTGCACATGCACCGGCTGTCTCGGTGCACACAAGCAAATTTCACTCATACGCTCCGTTGTTTTCTAATCAAGCTGAGTTCTTCCGTTTGTGCAGAAAATGGCTTTTTGTTGTCGTGTGCTGCAGTTGTTTTCATGCACATCGCAGTTGTTTCAGACGCGTTTATGTGAAGCCAGGAGCTACGCTTCAGTTTGAACTTTTCCTTGTTTAAGTGTAGAGGTTATGAAACATGTGACGGATGCAAATTTCAACCGCTCAAGCAGATAATTTTAACTGACGTACCATTTTACAAACAAACTGTCTGACAGGCGTACATGCTGGGCAGAGTCGGGTTTATGACAGATGGTATTTGACCTTCTCTGAGAACTCCACCCCTTTTTTCACTCTCCAAGCATTTCTGCATCAACTTTAATTTTTAAACAATTACTCTGACCTTTGGTTAACTGTCACAACTACTTACATGTGTTTTCTCCATTTAGGTCCATTGCATTTATTGTTATAAAGCTGCAGCAGTTTTCTTCATGTTTGAAGCTCTAACTGGGATGTGGAAGGCTGCAATTTTTCTATTTACATACATTATATATAGTTGAATATACTGTGTGCAACTCTTCATTTAGAGGCTTGTTTTCATTGGTTCATGAGCAGTTTAAGTGTTGACACCAAAGGAAAGATTTGTATTATGGGCTGTTTGTTCACACATATGAGGAACATTCTTTTAAAGGCCTAATCTGATCATGTTAAACTTTAAAGTGTACTGTTGTATATTCTTGTGAAGGGAACAGAAGCAATGCTTTATATGCACTAACAACTCATAAATAACAATTCAGGACATCTTTGCACCAATGATTCAAACAAACACAGATGTAAACAAACCTTTTATACTCTCAGAGAACCAATGATTCCTGTCTTTACTGGTCTTCTTATGTAGTCAAGCAAGCAACAGCAAAAAGTGTCACCAAAATTTTACAACAAGCAGCACAGGGGCAGCACTGTTTCCCATTTTCAGGTCAGAGGTACAAAACGTTAGCTCTAAGTTTAAATAAGAAGTAAGAGCCTAAGGGGAGAAGGTGGAGTTTGGGTGGTCACGGATTTGATGAAGAATGTGAATGCGTCAGATGGTATGAAATATTATTTTTCACATGGTGTTATTGTGAATGTACGAAGTTGCTGAAGGAAACACTGCTGAATGAGATTTTTCCGCACCTAGTAAAATACCTCCGCTATAGAGATATGAAAACCATAAATCACCGATAAATATTTTTCTAATTTCTCCCCGACGTTATGAGAGAATATTCTTAGATGTATAACATACTGCAGTCCTTCGTGCGCCAAGGAAGACGGTGTATAAAGGTTAAGTTTCAAAGTTTTGAATATATACATTTCATGCAGCATTAAGTGTGAGTAAACATATTACAGAGATACATTTTGTCTTGTGCAATAATTTTATGTTAGTTTGATATATTACTAAAATTATTACATTATTGTCAGTATATTGTGTTGCATGGTGTGAACTCCACATAATATTAATGGCATGCAACATTTCACCACCGGATCATGGTGTTCCACCTGCACAATAAAGTACATACAACTAATGAACACAAGCTGTGCCAATTTAAACTCTCACTCTCAGCCACTGTTTCGGATTATAGACCTGTTACATTATGTCAATTTTGAACACTGTAAATATGAAATTATCAGTGTGTATATAGACACTTTTTTTTTTTTTTTGTATAGACAGCCGTACATGTAAAAACCTATGGTCATTCTGTTGTCGGGTAGATTCATCTGCAGTATATTTGGCAGCTGCTTTGCCTCTAGCATCACATTGAGAATGTGAGCTTTTGCATAATGTTACGCTTACATAAATGTAAAGTATTCCAATGGTGTCATAGTCAGACATGATATGTCAATAAATGTGTATTTTTACAATCAGTCATATTTATGATGTTAAATGTGCAATGAGATGGAAATTAAATAAAATTAATGGGATTTGATAAACACTGTGTTTGTTTCCTTCATAATGTCTCTGTGTTGTCCATCCATCCATTATCTATACACCACTTAATCCTCACTAGGGTCACGGGGGGCTGGAGTCTATCCCAGCTGACTTAATGTGAAGGCAGGGGACACCCTGGACAGGTCACCAGTCTATCACAGGGCTACAGTTAGAGACAGACAACCAAGCACACTGACATTCACACCTACGGACAATTTAGAATCACCAATTAACCTTAACATGTTTTTGGACTTGCATGTTCTCTCCGCGTTCTCCGGCTTCCTCCCACACAGTCCAAAAACATGCTGAAGTTAATTGGTGATTCTAAATTGTCCGTAGGTGTGAATGTGAGTGTGCTTGGTTGTCTGTCTCTAAGTGTAGCCCTGTGATAGACGGGTGACCTGTCCAGGGTGTCCCCTGCCTTCGCCCTAAGTCAGCTGGGATAGACTCCAGCCCCCCCGCGACCCTAATGAGGATTAAGTGGTGTATAGATAATGGATGGATGGATGGATGGATGTTTTTGGACTGTGTGGGAGGAAGCCATAGAACCCAGAGAGATCCCACGCTGCACGGGGAGAACATGCAAACTCCACGCAGAAAGATCCTCACCGGGATGCGAACCAGTGACCTTCTTGCTGCGAGGCAACTGCGCCACCTTGCAGCCCTCTCTGTGTTGTACGGCAGGTTTTTTATATTTATTGCTCATGAGTCATAGTGTTAAATGAATTACTTTAAATATCTCTAAAAGTCGCTTTGGAAAAATCTAAATGTTTGTGTGATGTCTGTACATGTTTTTTTAGTAACGGTAAGTCATTTAGTTATGCAAAAATGTAAATTTATGAAACAGACCTCAAAAACAGAAGCAGTTGTATAAAAATGAGTCATGCAGAGATGCTGTTATTCAACAGTCAGCAACATGGGACAGTAAATAGGCCGGAGAGTTTCGATGCTTAAGTTTCTCATTGCTGTTAGGCCACAGACGCCATTGCTGTGGACACATATCGTCATCTAGGAAATTTATCTTACAGTGAACTTCAATTTGTAGCTCATATGAAGCAAAACATCACCTTTTATTGTCACTGAGGGGAAATTCATATGAATGAAATGCTGTAGTTGTAGACGTGAACAACAAAAATAACAACTGATCACACTTTGGAGCTTGAAAAAAAATAAAATAGATGAATTTTCCAAACAATATCATGTGATGCCATGTTTGTCTCCCTCTGACTTGCATTGTAAATAAAGATAATCAGAGGCTACGCTGAGAGGCAGATACTTTGGAAACATGAGTAACTTCTCATATGAATTGTCAGACTACATTAGCACGGCTCTCGCCTCAAACAATGATAAAGGTCAGAGCTCTGTCACGGAAAGTTTGACACGATGCCAGAGTGAAGCAGAGCTGCTCTCTGCGAGCTGGCACTCATCCATCTGGGTGAGCGACATGTAATCGGGCTATCAGCATCGTGTGCTTACAAACTGAACGAGCAGTTTCGTGTATTGACCTGATGAGCTGGCACATTCCCAAATGGATTACCTCCAACAATGAAACCATTTGTTGCATAAAAATACATCACAGCTGGAAGTGATTTACACACATTTAATGGCATACTTTTATTTGACCTCTTCCGAGTCTTCTTCCTTCTGTATAATTAAACAAGAAAATTACTAGATTCATTGCATAAGTGAACACATTATTCTGCACTTTTTCAGTAATTGGCTGTTGCTGAGGAAAAGGAGCCTCGTGCTCTATGACAACAGCTCCATCTAGTGGTATTTCTGTGGAGACACACACCATCCATGCAGTTACTGTCTTAAGAAAAGGTGAATGGAAATGATCTTCTACTCTTTCTTTTTGCCATCCAGATAAAACAGTGAGGCACAAAATAGCATCTTTGGTTAATGAATGAACAAAACATGCAACACCTTAAGATGCATTCAGTCCATGACAATCAGAGAAAAGACAGAGCACCATCGCCATTGTTTAATGTTTAAGCATCAGCGGATGATGCATATCTGTGAGAAGGGGCTGACTCGGTGGTTAGCAACGTTGCCTCACAGCAAGGAGGTCGCCGGTTTGCGTCCCAGTGAAGACACCCGGGATCTTTCTGCGTGGAGTTTGCATGTTCTCCCCGTGCAGCGTAGGTTCTCTCTGGGTTCTCCAGCTTCCTCCCACACAGTCCCAAAACATGTTGAGGTTAATTGGTGATTCTAAATTGTCCGTAGGTGTGAATGTGAGTGTGCTTGGTTGTCTGTCTCTAAGTGTGGCCCTGCAGGTGTCCCCTGCTTTCGCCCTAAGTCTGCTGGGATAGACTCCAGCCCCCCTGCGACCCTAGTGAGGATTAGGCAGTGTATAGATAATGAATAATGGATATCTGTGAGAAAATGAAACAGAGATGGTTC